AGGGACGTTTCTGAGGCTCGTATCAACACACCTGCAAATCCTTGGGAGTTTTTCTTGGTTAGGTTTGTCACGGAAAGGGCACAGCTTTGATAAGAACATGTTTGCTTTGGGCATGAGTAAAGTTTAAGGCTTGTCATGTATTAAGGTTTTACTGGGCGACACTCTTAAGAAGGTTTCAAGTCTGTGTTTATCAGTCAAAAAGGTACCAATCTATGTCATCTGCTCGCGAAAAAATGAAAAATGTCACTTTGATTTCAGGTCATAAAAGCTGTGTTAATGTGCGATAAGCCTCCAGACTTGTCGTCAGTATGACCAAAGCAGAACATCAGAGAGTGTCGATATTTTAAATGAACTTATATATACTTCAGTCGGAAAGACCGAGTTTTCTGGAGTTGAGAAAAGGCATATTTCCATTGCACTGGACAAAGCACTTGGTATTTCACTGCAGTGAACATAACACTTTGACAGAACTAATGTCTTACAACAGTTACCTCCCCTTCATGGTAAGTGTCTTGCCCGTGCACAAACTGTTGACTTCCTATTTACGTTAGTTCCACATTGAGAATGCAGAATGGTGACAGATGGTCATTTATGGAGCTGTTATTGCTTCATGCCGTTTGTTATTCTCTTGAAAATGTTTCGTTATATACTTTACATTTCTCGTTTAACTCGTCAATCGAGGATGTTCCTTTTGCAAAACGCCATTTGTATTACATGAGCAGCCTGAATGCTTTCGCTTCCAACAACGGTCTCGTAGATTTCAAGAATATTTTTGTTGAAGTTGATTTTGTATATAATCATATCCGCATGCATGATAAAGAATTATTTTGCCGTAAAATATTTTTTGTTACAATTCACAAATTATATCTTTAAAGATTTTGCAATCTCGGAACTACTTTTTAAGTCGCATTTACATAGGGTGGTAAAACTGCGTGTTAGGTAAGGATAAGTTACGTTTGAAGGTTTGACATTTGTAAGGAAATGAATTTATTTTCCCGGTAGACAACTACAAAAAAGGTATATGATAAATAGGATATTCCATGTGCCGAAAAACTACAATGTTTCTCTCGATGGAATGACGTCAAGAATGTCATGCGGATGACGTCAACCACAAATTGATGCGTGGGAAGTGCCCATACGATTTACTGTGGAACTATGCTCTACAACGTCTAATCTACTCCTAGTCGGATGATCGGGTCATCGGGTAAGAATGTTGTACTGATCGAGTAGGGTTTCCCCCGTCACTCATCTTCCCGAGGCAAGTGAGTTAACTGACTATAACAGTCCAGTTTCCACCCTTGCCGAACTAGGCTGGTATTATGGAGTTACATTTTGGCTGGACTAACGAGTCTATGCATAGTCCAATCAAACTCGCGCACCGAAATCGAAATCCGGTTTTGTAAAGTGTCATGCAGATTTTGGTCGACTACAGGATTTGCAAAGCATGTGCACCGCTTACTCGTTGTCAACAGATTTTTTCTATATCTTTTCATGTTTTTAGTCAAGGTGCTCACGTGAGTTGATGCACTTCGCGATGTAAGACTCGTTTGATCACAATATAGATATTGATTATCGATCAGATCGTCTTGACTGGGCGCCACCGTTTTGTTTGAAGCAAATGCAAGTGATACGAGAGGTTGAATCTGATTGGTCAATAGGAGAGGCATAGAAAGGACATTACTCGTAATAGCCACTGGTGGCGCTACGATCGAGCCCAGGAATTCCAGCCTAGTTCGGCAAGGGTGGAAACGGGACTTTTAAATCAGTTAACTCACTTGCCTCGGGAAGATGCCCGTCACTCGATGAGAGAAACATGATATTTCACTCCACACCTGGAATATCCTCTATTACCCATAGGGTTTGAAATACTCTAGTTCAGAAAATTCGTCTGTGTACAAGGGAAAATATCAGTAGTTGACGCTCACCAGTGTATTGTTAGCGTCATCCGGACGGCATCGTGGGCGTCATTCGAATCTTATTGTGACGTAAGTTAGGAATGACGTTACACTATAAACGACGTCATAGCTGAAGACGTTAACGTCAGTCGACAATTGTGGTTTTCGGTCATGATAAGTGCATCTTTCTAAATGGGAGCTCAAAACGATTAACAAATAATAGGTTGAGGAGACATCATAACACTCACAAGTACGTGTTTTTTATGTTTTTTATAAATAAATGATATACCCATAAACATGATGACAAGGACACTACAAGGGCGACAACCTGATTTATGTCATTCTTACGTTTTCACCCATGTGTTACCTCAGGACCAATAGGGAAGCGATTGTGACGGCAAAAACCCTTCTACACGTGCTTCCCGCCTTATACGATACGATATACCCGTGTGAAGATTCGGGAGAGAATAGGTCTTCAGGAACCCATACTTGCCGTAAAAGGCGACCATGCCTATCGTAAAAGATCGGATGGTCAGGCTCGCTGACTTAGTTGATGCATATGTTATCCTGTCCCAATTGCGTAGAACGCTGCTCATGATGTCAGTTACTGGATTGTCTGGTCCAGACACGATTATTTACAGACCGCCGTCATATAGCTTGAAGTTTGCTGATTGCGGCGCTAAACATCAATTAAACAAAACAAACAAGTCCTCATACCATAGCATCTGCCAACATACATGAATATTGCCCGGAAATCACTTCCAGGTCCGCGGTGAAAAGTGAGGTGAGAAGGTGTTTAACATCGCAATCAAGAGTATTGCACATATATAGGGACGTTTATGCAACAAGTACTACATTTGAATGTCTTTAGGTATGACAAGGCCAGGGCTCGAACTAATGCACGTCCGTTCTCTGGGCCACAAGGCAATGACTTCTTGCAACGTTACGTCATTCAAACAAATGATGGGGAAACAACTAGCTCCACTGATTCATGATCAAGCTGACGACCAGAAATTATAAATAACTCAATTAACAAAAATAGTAAGTATTGCTGAAAGCAGCCATTAAGGACTCCAAATGATGCACAAAAGCACGCACAAAACACACCTTCAGGCACACTTCGGGCGGTCGGGTAGCCTAGTGGTTCAAGCGTTCGCTCGTCACGCCGAAGACCGGGTTCGAATCCCGACATGGGTACAATGTGTGAAGCCCATTTCTGGTGTCCCCCGCCGTGATATTGCTGGAATATTGATAAAAGCGGCGTAAAACCAAACTCACTCACTCATGCACACTTCTATATTTTCCATGAAGAAGATATGATCTTAAATTCACATTTATGAGAACATAAATTGATCGGAAGTTCGGATTATTAAGTGTATATGGCTTCCAAACCACGTTACTAATGACTAAAGTAAAATAACATAAACTGTCAAGAGTCTTGAGCAGCAGATACATGACAGTATTTGGATGACTGGGTACGGAGCAATAGGGAAAAGTTGTTTTTGAATTATCTGCCCTTGATACTCCACAGTCTACATCCACGTAAAAATAAATTGAGCAGAATCGGACCACTCGTCATTTAGTTATCTCTGCGGCAAAAATCGGGGGAATAAACTTAATAGAACCAATGACAAGAAAACGATCAGATTTGAAATCTAATAGGATAATTATAAAAAACGGAGTTTGATGTATGGAGACAGTTCTCAGAAAGATTGGACACTTTTCATTTGGTAGGTTCAAAGGTGTAGGGTTTTAAAGACACACTAAAATAGTAAAATACAATCTACAAATCTTGAATCCAATATGGCCGACACGCCATTTAACCTTTGACATGGAAACAGGAACACAAAAATTGAAACATATGGCATCAAAACTCGATGCATCCATCGTCCAATATTTGCTATGAAGTAGTTTACAACATATGATTTTTTTAGTAGAATTTATGAGGAAATAATCGATCTGAATTAAACTCTAATATAGCCGCAAAAATACATCCTGAAACGGCTTAGACAGTTTGATGACGGAAGTATGGAGATCATTTCATTTACTAGGTTCAAGAAGGAATATTTTGAAGTCATGTACTTCAAAACAGAGTAAACTCCGCTCTGAAAATCTTGAATCCAATATGGCTTCCAAATCACGTGACCAATGATCAAACTCAAAGGAGAAACAATGTCAGTCACCTAAATCAGCAGACAGTAAATACACATTTTGGACCGAATCGGGGCTCTGGTTATTTAGCTATCTCCGGTAGAAGAATCGGCGACATAATCAAAATAATGAACCCGATGAATACAATAGAGCTTCCAGCGTTTCTGCCTGAATCCCTGAAAATCAGGTAATTTCAACAGATCAACTGGGAAAATAAGGTAAACTACTCCCGGGATGCATAACATTGATAACACACATGAACATGCACATCTGTCAAACACATTGTGAAACTGGTAGTCACTGAAAAACTCTTTGGCATGTTCAGCAGCTGAATCCCAGATCCTGACAAGTTGCACGGCACTGTTGAAAATTCCTCCTAGATTTTAGAACTGACTGAGGCTTTTTTCTTGCCATTTTGCTTCAAGAACCTTATTCAATCGCCTTGTTAGCAGCTAATACTCAACACTGGTCATTAGGAAGCCTTTCGTCTGAATTGATATCTCCTAGTTCTACTGTAAAAGGGCACGCTTCCCAATGTCAGGATTCAATGTCTGGATTCACATTGTAATCAAGGAACCTTTGTCGAATGGACAAAGCAACAGGACGTAGGTACGTTTTCACTGGACCTATTATTACATGGTGTTCTTATGCTTAGAAAAAATGAACAATACAAAACAGGTCAGATAGTATCTATGTATGTTGGTGATTCCTCCTAGAATCATATTGTACACTATTTACAGAATGGAAAATATAAATATAACAAAGATAAATGGAACATGACACGGATTATATATAACATTTGTTTGTTTATTTGTTTGTTTGTTTGTTGTTTAACGCCGCACTAAGCAATATTCAATCTATATGACGGCGGTCTGTAAATAATCGAGTCTGGGCCAGACAATCCAGTGATTGACATCATGAGCATCGATCCACGCAATTGGGATACGATGACATGCATCAACCAAGTCAGTTAGTCTGACCACCCGATACCGTTAGTCGCCGCTTACGACAAGTATAGTCGCCTTTTACAGCAAGCATGGGTTGCTGAAGACCTATTCTACCCCGGATCTTCACAGATTGTAACAATATTTACTGATGGAGAATTTGTTGATATGAATAAACAAGGAGATGTGTAATTATGTTTCCAAGTTAACTTGTTATCAAATCAAATATTTGTCGGGAAAATAAATATACGTTTACCTGTCTCGGTTATCCGACACATTTAGGCAAAATAGCGGTGAAATTTATTGAATGAAAATCAGCGATAACACCAGGAAGAATTGATAGGACATGTATCAAATTTATCAATTCATTTTTCTCAAGTGTCATTCACTTGAAAATTCACAGTCACAGTAGAGCTCAGCATTGCGACCTGGCTTTCAAATGAGACTAACTGCTTTCTGATACATACACTAAGCATTTTGAGCATGCCTCACACCCCATTCCACAAACCAGCCAACATAACAACAAAAAAACTCAAACTTTAAACACCTCAAATCCATTTAGCAAGTATGTAACACAAAATACAACGTCAACACCAGAGAACTACAAGTTTCGAGTTTCCGTCGAAATACATTCCATAGGCCGTTAAAGACATACATGTACACGACAAGAAAAGCATTCATTTACATATAAACCAATTATTTCTGTACTCTAAGCGTTGAACCTGGCGTCCATTTGCATGTCATGCTTTCACCCCCACACACCCATGCGTGCATTAGGAATTATATAACTGTGTAAGACGGCATGAAAAATAACAAGCAAAGTTAACAAAAATTGAAGGAACATGTAATGAACATTCATGTCAACTTTCCATTTGGGGAATGGCTGCAAATACCAAAATGTCAGAGACGATGAACTCCATTTCCAAGTTGTCCTGGATGAAAATTGCTTTGGATGTCTCTGGATTGCTTTGAGTTGCTTTGAATTTCGCAGAGATGGAGAGACTGAATGACGACTTAATATATCAAAAATATGTATAAATTGTATTTGTATCTTGGAAATAACGTTTGGATATATGGAATGGTTTGTAATAAACATTATTTTTGTCAATTGGTTGTTTAAAAGAAGCTCGATAAACCAATGTCAAATCCAAAAAGGCATTTACCAGTTATTGTTATCCCGATAGGCTGAAGTATAGGGTACCAATAACGCCTACATGTACCTGGCGATTTTTTGCAATAGATGGTGAGGTAAGAAAAGCTCGGATTAGAATTCAATCCCACGTACATTTCAATAGGGTCTGCAATTGATTTTTTCCATCTGTTATAACGGTATTTATCTCACAATGATGAACATACAAACCGGCGTGACATGTAATAAAGACCTTACGAAAGACACGAGAACACTGAGTACCACTGAGAAGGCAAGATGGTCGTACAAAGAAATTAATTACGTCCTTGAATGCGAAAGTAAACCATATAATACCACCACTGTTGATAAGACACATTTTGAGTTCGCTTTAATTGCCGTACTTGACAATGTCAAGGACATTGGTGTGTATTGTTGGGGCGAGCAAGATGGCGGCTTGTGGGTGTCCAACATGGCTGTCATGTAGCTCGTTATGGTAGCCGAGCATCCTCTTCGCAAGTGTGTCTCGTAACATACTTTGACCTTATCGAGCCAGCTGCAAAGGGAAAAACCATCAAATAATTAATAGTAAGTGAAAACATTTGAACATATGCTCCATCTCGATCTACTCTGGCAAGATTTCCACAAAAGTGAAATATCCGTTAATGACTTAAAATGATGAATTTTTGGTCTGACGTGACCTGAAAATATTCATATCGACAGAAAATTCTCCTAGCCATTTAAAGCTAATACAATCTACATCACGACGAGGTAAATATAAACGCCTTCACACATTGTACCAATGTGGGTGTGACGTTATACCTACTAGGCTACCATACGGCGGTATACAGAATGAAATGGGTATGGTATAATTAATGCAATTTTCGATTTGTTCATAACTGGTATTTTTTTTATGTTCGAAATTTTCACAATTTGAGCGGGACGGTTGAAAGCCATGGCCGCAGTGTGTTCAGTTGTGTGTGTCTATCAATACTATATCGAAAGGTCAGTGAGTGAGTGACTTTTTTATCGGACAGCCTGTGGCTTTGTGTAAGGACAAATCCACATGTAGCAGGCCAAAGTGAGTGAGTGAGTGAGTGAGGTTTTACGCCGCTTTTAGCAATATTCCAGCAATATCACGGCGGGGGACACCACAAATGGGCTTCACACATTGTACCCATGTCGGGAATCGAACCCGGGTCTTCGGCGTGACGAGCGAACGCTTTTACCACTAGGCTACCCGACCGCCCCAGCAGGCCACAGACACCGTCACGGCAGCTAGGTTGATAGCATGCCATCGTCTACAGGTAGTTTGGCAAGTTGCTCATTACATTAACTGTTTCTTCTTACATTTTTAATGGTTCATGTAACCGAGGTATAACTGAAATATTGCTTGGTGCGGTGTTAAACAACATTCACTCACTCATTCAATGTTAAACATTTTCCGATTGAGCATGACTGCATGCACACTCTATGTTTAGGGGATATTTCGACTTAAATCTTACATTTTGCATTTTACAATACGTTCACTACATCTTATGTTCAGTCAAGTCAACTCAACCACACCAATCCTCTTCAATGACACGCACAAATAAGTCGCATTGTTTAGTGAACTTTCTGTACCTCCGCACCTTCGTTTCCTACCAAGAACGAGATACATATGACAGCTAATAACTGAGTGCCCGTCCGATAGACAGTTTCATGATGTGTAAAGAGTTGGATTTATTTCAAGAGCCAGTTTGATTATTCTATTTATAAACGATTCCCGTGCTGGGCCTCCCCTGTTGACACATAAAGCAGTGCAATATCAAATTATATTTTTCATATAGACTGCAAATCAGTCAAATAAATGTGAAATCATTTGATATTCATGAATGTGAAAATAATGGACGATAGAAGTGTCACATTAGATCTGTAACACCATGTCTGTCTAAAAGTGAAGAGTAAAGGGAGCTTACTCGCAACTACTTCCTTTCCGCGGTGGGCTCAGTATAGCAAATGAGATGACGTCAGATTGTTGGGGGATTGTTGCTAGGCAATTCTTCACTGCGCAGGTCTTTTCGTTTACACAAGCCAGCTCTCTCTTGATAGCTTAAAAAGCAATTGATGTTATGTAAATAATTTATCATAAATAAAGTGACAAAACAATTCACCTGATGAAGGAGAAAGCATATACTCCGAAACGTTGACAACAGAAGTTGACATCCAAATGTTCTCTTCCTTATTTAAATCTGGTTTACGCACATATATAGTTAAAGGATAGGGTGTTGCACGATGTGGTATTCTATTGAATTGCAGATCTTGGCACTGAAATTAATGCCTTGTATAATTTTATTCAGTATTAACAGATAGGGCTGTTGATATCCTAACATATCTGTTACATCAGTTTGGGGAATGCTTTAGGAAGAGGGAGAAATGTTTTCATTCCTTACAGCAGCCTGTTTGTTGGGATGAAGAATGCGTTGAAAGCATCCAAATATACGCTGTTGAGTGAATTCAGGAAAGCAATGCTAATTCTGATTTACAGGTGTGTATTAAAGAAAGAAAGAAATTCAAAAATGTACGTACCAGAAAAAGACAGTTTTTCAGAATACAACCCTTCAGGAATTATTTGAATGTAACAATAGCATGAAGGATTTATGGATGAATATAAAGCTTTCCTCTACCTCGTCAGAAATAACGCTAGAAAGATGGATTCAGCATTTCAGAAATTATTCGAGAACAATCAACAAGCTATAAATGATAATTTGGAACAATTTCTGAAACATGAATTTGAGAAAGATGAAATACGTGAGATCTTAAGTGATGAGTTTACTAGAAGCATCACAGAGGAGGAGATAATTTGAGCGATTAAAGAATTTAAGAATCAAGCTCCTGGATCTGATGGACAGGTTTTGGAGAACACTCTCTGACATACATCCTACCTTATCGGGGCGGTCGGGTAGCCTAGTGGATAAAGCGTTAGCTCGTCACGCCGAAGACCCGGGTTCGATTCCCGACATGGGTACAATGTGTGAAGCCCATTTCTGGTGTCCCCCGCCGTGATATTGCTGGAATATTGCTAAAAGCGGCGTAAAACCATACTCACTCACTCACTCCTACCTTATCTATCACATTTAATACAGTTTTGGACGAAGGGCAGTTTCCAGAGAAATGGAGCAATGACAGTGTTCAACCGTTGCACAAAGATGATGACAAGACACAATCAGATAACTATAGAGGTATCTATTTTTTGAAAGTTATTGGGAAAATCTTGAATCTTAAATAAGAGAATCACAGAATGGGCAGAAATGAATAGTAAAAGTTTTATGAGGAACAGGCTGGCACCAGAGAAGGATACTCATCGATAGATAGCACGTTCATACCACAATCAGTGAATGATAAATACTTATCCTAGCGAAGTGGAAAGATTTATGTAATATTTGTCGACTTCTCCAAAGCCGTTGATTCAGTGCAACACTTTCTGAAAACCTTGTTGTGAAAAAAATCGAATAACCGGGAAATGTTTAAACGTACTTCAGTCAATGTACTCGAAGTTGAAATCTTGTGTAAATACATAAAAAGGAGTAAGCGATTATGTTAATTGTTGGAGGGAACAAGGCAAGATAAGTCACACATTGTTTGTCCTACCTTTAAACGAATATATTGAAATGAAAAAACATTCAGAATGCAGAGGTACATGTATCTTCGTCGGGGACCTTTTGACTAATTTGACAACGTTGTAATATGCATATGACATGATTAATGCAGTTGACACAGTATACAAGCTTCAATAACAAATTGACCTCTTGTCTGACGTTTGCAGTAAATACGGAATGAAGGTAAATAAAGAAAATACAAAAAATGTAGTGTATAGAAGAGGGGTTTTTTTTTAAATGTCAGAGAAGTGGTATTTTAACGGAACTATGTTCCAAAAAGTATCTCGGAATATCGATGAGTATCAAATTCAAGAAGGCACTTAATAGATTTAAATGGGGAAGTCATTATTTACACATAGACACGGCAGGTGGGAAAATATTCCAAGAGAAGATCGACTTTGTCGTTACTGTCATTCTACAGGAGATATATATCTCCGTTGTGGGAGATAAAAAATATTTTCTGCTTGTTTGTCCAATGTATAACAGTTACAGACAGAAATATCTGCAACCATCTAATATTTACTTATCAATACTTCATTAAATATGTGTAACAGACAAAACGAAGCTTTGTAAGTAGAAGCTTTTTCATATTTCATTTTTATCCAAAGGAAGTATTGGATAGATAAACGTTTTTTTTATTTCCTGATGAGGAATTTGATTCATATTTATGAAAGCTGTTTCAAAAACAGCATATCACAATGCCACTTGAATTTGTAAAGGTATCTATAAATTTAAACATTATGTAATGTCATCACAAGGCGCAGGTAACTGCCGAGACGTTAGCAGTATGCTGTATTTTGTTCATACGTATTTGTAATGGCAAATACGATAATGTATTACTATTTATCACATAAACTGCTTGTACTGAGAATCATGGGCTGAGAGGCCGACATTAAAATAATATTCATATAATATTCATATAATGCTTTGTCCTCCAATATCGTATTGAAATGAAGGTCCTCTCTCTTGCTAGAAACCATAGACTTATAGAGTGCGAGACTCCACACGCAGATGGGTATAACGGAAGCGGTTGACAATATTACAAATGTGAAAGAATCAGTGTGCCAGGCCTATGTTTTAATTCCCTGCTTCACCGCCGCGTGACATATGGGTTACAGGAAGTCTGTCCTGACTTGTTTATTGAGGGTGTACTTACTATCCAGGAATCGACACGTGAGGTCCATTCTCTGTGCCAGTATCTCCGGGTACAGAGACGCCAGATCACACCGCTCCCTGGTCGCTACATGCTCCGGGCATTCGTACAGTTGCGTGAAGCACTGCCTGACGAAGGCACTTGCGTTGCGTCTGCAATAACAACATTACTTTTGTATAGCTATAAAACGAAGGTTTGTCGCCATTTTGTAGCTGCTGTGATTCCAAAGGGTTTTACAAAGTATTAAGTAGGGGTAACCACAGTTTGTAACCACACGACTCTCGAACGCTACAACCCGGTAAATAATAGACAGACAGACAGACAGGCAGACATAACGAGGCCATTGTCGATTTGGAATGTCTTAAACGGCATTGTTTTCACACTTGTGCTATAAAAAGGCAAGCATAAGCCAATAATTTGTCAGTCAATTGTCAACATTTTTCAAGTTCGAAAATGCTTAGACTCAGAGCTGTCGATCGGAACATCGCCATAGGACGTACTCAAAAAAGTGATTTTCAGTCTACTGTTGCACGCCACTTCAACGTCAACCAGAGCACCATTTACCGCCTTTGTAACCGATACACACAGTACAATTCCACTGGAGGCCGTCCGAGAACCGGCCGACCGAGAGTTACCACCCCTACACAAGATCGCTATATTCGACTGTTCCACCTACGTCATCACTATGCCACAGCTACGGACACTGTAGGACGCTTCCCTGGTTTGAGGATGATATCGGACCAGACTGTCAGGAACCATCTTCGCGAGGCTGAGATTCGACCCAGAAGACCTGTTATTCCTGTTTTGCAACAGATCCATCGACAGCGACGCTTGCGTTGGTGCCATAAATTACAGCCTTGGAATTTGAGAAACTGGAGACGAGTGTGGTTTAGCGATGAATCACGATCCTACATTACGAGATCAGACTTGGTTGTGTTTATTGGAAATTTGACAGCAAATCGCTACATTAATCAAATTCTTCAACCTCATCTACTTCCAATCATTGACCGCCAGAAGGGGCTGTTTCTACAGGACAACGCTCCACCGCACACAGTTCGCGTCACGGTAGACTACCTTCATAATGCCAACATCAACGTCTTGGCCTGGCCGCCGACATCTCCAGATCTCAACCCAATCGACGTGAGAACGTCAGAACACGCTGCAGACACTCCCACAACTGGCAAACGCGTTACAAGCAGAATGGCGCAGAATCGCGCAGGACAGAATTCGTACAATTACCCAGTCAGTGCCAAGGATTGAGCCGTGATTGCTGCCCGGGGCGGTCACACAAGATACTGAGTTCAGTGCAACCTTGTGGCCTTAGTTGAAAATGAACAGTTTTCAATTCCTTTGTTCAACGCCAACATGTGTCTATCAGGCTCAAAACTTCCATATTTGTAACTATGATATTAAATTAAATATATCGATTTTTAGGTACAATAAATTTACTAAAAATCTACCTGTGCATTTCCTTTTTTGAAGAGTGTATATATATATATATATATTGTTGTATATATAAAACACGTTCGGCATATGGTAGGTAGTGGTGGTAGTGGTAGTGGTAGTAGTATTCGTGGTGGTAGTTGTAGTGGTAATGGTAGTAATAGTAGTGGTTGCAGTAGTAGTAGTTGTAGTAGTGGTAGTAGTAGTAGTAGTAGAAGTAGTTGTAGAAGTTTGTATGTTGTTTAACGCAGCACTCAGCAATATTCAAGCTATATGACGGCGGTCTGTAAATAATCGAGTCTGGACCAGACAATCCAGTTATTAACACCATGAACATCGATCCACGCAATCGGGGTATGATAACATGCATACACAACAATGTGATCACCGCCTCCCTTATTACCCCAACCCTGTTGTTTTTGTGGTGGTGTTTTCTCTTTATTGCTATTTTAGCTTCAAAAGTCCTCTCAACGACAAGTTTTAAAACAAATTGACACTAGTAGTCGGCTTAGCCCGTAAATTAGCCAAAGATCACGTAACTATAACAAACGACTGAAAGAATAACACGCTGTAGTACAGTTACGAGCTTCGTATCAGCTGAGCTACATCAATATTTGAGTGCGGGTATCTAGCAGATATTATACAGACGCTTCATTCGCCAACGGTCCGTCACTTACAAAACGTAAGGACCAAAGAGTTATTTCCCTTCCCTTACATTTAATGACTTGTGTCCGTACGTTTGGTTTTATGCCGCTTTGAACAATATTTCAGTTATATCCCTGCGTGTCAGCTTAATGTTGGAGGAAAGTCCGAAGTATTGCAGATATTTGTCCTTTAACACAGTGGTGAACCCTTGGGACGGTGCTGACAAGGCAAGAATCCAAATAAAGACGATTTGGGGGCTCCAACCAACAAGGATATCACTGTGACGCACACGAGGGGCGCAATACCAGACATTGAATTACGGCACCTAGGGCGACTGATACACATCATGTACCCAGAACTAATTCTTTAATTCGAAAAAATGTATTCCAGGATAAATGTGGAAAACACGTTCGCATATTTGCGGGGCGGTGGGGTAGGTTAGTGGTTTAAGCGTTCTCTCGTCACGCCACGGCGCTTGGTTCGATTTGTCGTGTTTCTGGTGTTTTTGGTGATATTGCTGGATATTGTATTTCTTCTTCAAATGGAATTAATTAAGTATTGGCATGCAACCAGAACATACCTGACGTAGCATAGTACTTCACAGACGTTAGGACAGTGACTATCGTTATATACTACCTTTGTACTACAAGTTGAATAGGGGCACGGGTGACCAAGCCGTCTGAGGCGCCGCGACTCGCTGTGCAGAGTTGCGTCCCCTGGGAACGCCAGAAACCTATGATTGTGGCTTCGAATCCCGGTTCGCCTCGATTATGTTTCTTGGTTTGTCAACACCATACCCGTGCTCGTGGTTTATATCGAAGTGGTAAACGTCTGAGACCATCACTTGGGGCTTTCCTCCCACATTAAGCTCACACGCCGTGATATTACTGGAATAATGTAAAAAGCGGCGTTAAAACCCAACTCACTCACTCACAAGTTAAATAACACCCACAATTGGAAGAATGTGTGTTTAAAAAAAACAATCCACTTTCGTCAAAGAAAAAAAGGGCCTTCTTTTAAGTTGTATATCCTTTCATGTTCCTTTGTTTTTTCTTTGTCGATCGTTGTTGTCGATAACGCTGTTGCTGAGGAGTGATTAAATAAACACGACTGTTGCGTTTTCATTACTCTATGTATAACGTAGTTTAGATAGATATGTATATTTATTTTTTTAATTAAGATCATTACAAATTAATGTGATTCCCAGTGATTACAATAACGCTCTATGATTTGCATGTACATATATTACCACAGTCTTTACGTCACAAACAGTTACTCGTTGGTCTGTGCTGTCTTCGTATTAATCTGATTCTCTGTGTGTTTATCGTGTATCTGGTCCGTGTGTGCGTGTGTGGTGCACCAGCATTGTAGCGTCAGCTGGTTGTTATTTCTGACTGTACCGACCTACAGTGAGCTGTGATCTTTTCAAAGCTGTCCACTGCCAGCAGGGTGTCGTGAAGGAGAAGTGGCATGCCGTCCACCTCGGCATGGCACACCTGTACCTTGTCCAGAAACGCCTTGGAACAGCCTTGACCTTGTGTCTGTGACGCTTTAACATGAAACATGACATATCATATATATAAATGTTGCTTCAACCTCATGGCGTGCGTCATTAGAGCTCCCTGGGTTTTATGATTGCATGTTGGAATCTCATATACTCGCCCTGATTACACAACAACTACTACCACTGCTACTACTACTATTACTACTACTACTACTACTACTACTACTACTACTATAACTACTACTACTACTACTACTACTACTACTACTACTACTACTACTACTATAACTACTACTACTACTATTACTACTACTACTACTACTACAACTATAACTACTACTACTACAACTTTAACTACTACAGTTACTACTATAACTATTACTACTACTACTACTTTAACTACTACTACTATAACTACTACAATTACTACTACTATTACTACTACTATAACTACTACTACTACTACCACTGCTACTACTACCATAACTACTACTACTACTACTACTACTACTACTATAACTTCTACTACTACTACTAGTATAACTACTACTACTACTACTATAACTACTACTACTTCTTTAACTACTACTAATATAACTACTAATATTTCTACTACTACTACTACTATAACTACTACTACTACTACTACTACTACTATAACTACTACTACTATAACTACTACTACTACTACTACTACTATAACTACTACTACTACCCTAACTACTACTACTACTATAACTATTTCTTCTACTACTACTACTACTATAACTACTACTACTACTACTACTATAACTACTACTTCCACTGCTACTACTACTATAACTACTACTACTACTACTACTACTACTACTACTATAACTACTACTACTACTACTACAACTATAACTACTACTACTACAACTTTAACTACTACAGTTACTACTATAACTATTACTACTACTCTTACTTTAACTACTACTTCTATAACTACTACAATTACTACTACTATTACTACTACTATAACTACTACTACTACTACCACTGCTACTACTACCATAACTACTACTACTACTACTACTATAACTTCTACTACTACTACTAGTATAACTACTACTACTACTACTACTATAACTACTACTACTACTACTTCTTTAACTACTACTAATATTTCTACTACTACTACTACTATAACTACTACTACTACTACTACTACTACTACTATAACTACTACTACTATAACTACTACTACTACTACTATAACTACTACTACTACCCTAACTACTACTACTACTATAACTATTTCTACTACTACTACTACTACTATAACTACTACTACTAATACTACTATAACTACTACTTCCACTGCTACTACTACTATAACTACTACTACTACTTCTATAACTACTACTACTACTACTACTACTATAACTACTACTACTACTTCTTTAACTACTACTAATATAACTACTAATATTTCTACTACTACTACTACTATAACTACTACCACTACTACTACTACTACTACTACTACTATAACTACTACTACTATAACTACTACTACTACTACTATAACTACTACTACTGCCCTAACTACTACTACTACTATAACTATTTCTACTACTACTACTACTATAACTACTACTACTACTACTATAACTTCTACTACTTCTACTACTATAACTACTACTACTACTACTACTATAACTACTACTACTACTACTTCTTTAACTACTACTAATATAACTACTAATATTTCTACTACTTCTACTACTATATCTACTACTACTACTACTACTACTACTACTATAACTACTACTACTATAACTACTACTACTACTACTATAACTTCTACTACCCTAACTACTACTACTACTACTATAACTATTTCTACTACTACTACTACTACTATAACTACTACTACTACTACTATAACTACTACTTCCACTGCTACTACTACTATAACTACTACTACTACTACTACTACTTCTATAACTACTACTACTACTACTACTACTACTACTACTATAACTACTACTACTACTACTTCTTTAACTACTACTACTATAACTACTACTACTACTACTACTATTTCTACTACTACTACTACTATAACTACTACTTCTTTAACTACTACTACTATAACTACTACTACTACTACTTCTTTAACTACTACTACTATAACTACTACTACTACTACTACTATTACTACTACTACTACTATTACTACTACTACTATAACTACTACTACTACTACTTCTTTAATTACTACTACTATAACTACTACTACTACTACTACTACTACTATTTCTACTACTACTACTACTACTATAACTACTACTACTGCTACTATAACTTCTTCTTCCACTACTACTACTACTACTATAACTACTACTACTACTATAACTACTACTACTACTACTATAACTACCACTACTTTAACTACTACTACTATAAGTACTACTGCTATAACTACTACTACTTCAACTATAACTACTACTACTACTACCACTGCTACTACTACCTTAACTACTACTACTACTACTTCTTTAACTACTACTACTACTATAACTAGTTCTACTACTATTACTACTACTTCTACTATAACTACTACTACTACTATAACTAATACTTCCACTGCTACTACTACTATAACTACTACTACTATAACTACTACTACTACTTCTACTATAACTTCTACTACAATAACTACTACTACTACTACTACTACTATAACTACTACTACTACTATAACTACTACTACTACTTCTACCACTGCTACTACTTCTTTAACTACTACAGCTATAACTACTACTACTACTACTACTATAACTTCTACTACTATAACTACTACTACTTCTACTACTATAACTACTACTACTTTAACTACGACTACTATAACTACTACAACTATAACTACGACTACTACTACTACTATAACTACTACTACTATAAATACTACTACTACTACTTCTACTATAACTTCTACTACAATAACTACTACTACTACTACTATAACTACTACTACTACTATAACTACTACTACTACTTCTACCACTGCTACTACTTCTTTAACTACTACTGCTATAACTACTACTACTACTAATACTACTATAACTTCTACTACTATAACTACTACTACTACTACTATAACTAACACTACTTTAACTACTACTACTATAACTACTACAACTATAACTACGACTACTACAACTATAACTACTACTACAACTATAACTACTACTACTATAACTACTACTACTACTACAACTATAACTACTTTTACTATAACTACTACTACTACTACTACTACTGCTATAACTATTACTACTACTACTACTATAACTACTACTACCACTGCTACTACTACTACTGTAACTACTACTACAACAACTACTACTACTACTACTACAACAACTACTACTACTACTATAACTAATACTACTACTATAACTACTACTATAATTACTAATACTACTATAACTACTACTACAACTACTACTGTGTGTGAGGCTATATGATTTGAATTGGATGGGAAGCTGACTGCACGCCATGATGTAAATGAACGTCTGAAAGTTTTCAAAGTGCCGAAGACAACAACAGTTAAATACCCACTCCTGCACCGTCTCACTCACTCACTCACACTCACTCACTCACTCACTCACTCACTCACTCACTCACTCACTCACTCACTCACTACTGCATTGAGTCATGACTGCGACTTCCCCACTGTGCAGCAGTTTCCTGGTTCCATCTACATACAAGTGCTCTCGACGTTCCTTAACGCCGCTTGGAAATGCAGTTCAGCCATGTCACGGTGTTTAAGCATAATGAGTGAGGAAAGCTGACGTTTACCCAAACTTATATCACTTTAGTGAAACTCAGGAGCACAGGTTGCTGACAAACAAACAAGAAATCAGGGCGAATTTGTCATGCGAAATCACGATCACAGTATCCTGACATGCCTAGGGGAGGCAACTCTGCCTTAATCGACTGGACCAACCGTTCCTCTACAGCTTTAGGTCATTGGTCATTAGAGAGTTTAAAGATGAGAACACCAAAGCGACATGTACGGCTAAAAGAGGCGTAAAACCATACTCACTCACCCACTCTATTTCCCAAACCGTGTTATGGCTGGACTATTGCTAAGGGCGGCGCAAATCTCCACTCACTCTCCCATTCAACATAAAATTATCCGGTTACGCGATTCCCTGTGCAGAGTTGCGTCCCTTGTGCACGCCAGAAACCCATGATTTTGGGTTCGAATCCCGGTTCGCCCCAATTATGTTCCTAGGATTGTCAGCACCATACCCGTGCTCGTGGGTTTCACCGAAGTGGTAATCGTCTGAGACCTGCATCACTTCGGGCTTTCCTCCCACATTAAGCTGACACGCCGTGGTATAACTGAAATAATGTTAAAAGCGGCGTTAAACCCAACTCACTCACTAACTCCGTTAGATCGGCTTGATGTAGGAGGGCGGGATCATTATGAGGGTTTCGACCCCACGAGCATTTGTCTCACGGAGGAGGAGCATCGGATTGTGCCTCAGCGGCCGGGGTCGCCGTGACCTCGAACACAATAGGGAATGACTGACAAGCTTCTCCCCGTTATCAAATAGACAAACGATTTAACCAAGTTTTAAATTTTGTACTTGAGAATATGTTTAGACTATGTTTACTTTCTATGATGAGGGTGCCAATCCCACTGTGATGCGCAGGATGCGGAGCCCTGTTAGTGGTATTCCGGATGCCGGGGGGCAGTACGCTGGCTGCTATAAAATGTTTATCTGGTGCGCGGATGCCAGTATTTCAATGTAAACATTGGGTTTCTAAGAAATGAGAACACAAGGTCACACATTCGTCATCAAAATCCCAGTCTTACTGACCTGTACCAGTTGTTTACACTGATATGACTTAAATTTGATATGAGTTCTTAAATTTAGCGTATGCCTGGCGTGAGAGAGTGCGGCCCGTTCATCCGGACGGTACCGTCCCGAGTGTCACTGTCAGTATTAGAAATGTCCGGATTAACGAGTCGTTGGTGCGTAGTGGTTAAACGTTTCCATCAG